ATGTATTGCATTTGAGGTGTCTGTAAACATTCAGGCAGAGGTGTTGAATTGGCAACTGGATACATGGTTCTGAAGCATGAAAACAAAAGTTGAGAGTCATCAACACATAAATGGTGACTGAAATCTTGAAAATGAGTGACTTTATTTGGGAAGTATAGAGTTTGCTTAGAATAGAGATTTAGAAAAAAGTGGTTGTGAGGAAATAATTAGAGAAAATTGTCATTCTATAGCAGAGGAGAAGGGATGAAATAGAGGCAGAAGGGGAGAATAAAAAGATCTTCAACATAAAAGAAGTGTTTCAAAAAAGATAAATCAATTGGAGCAGAGATGTCAAATAAGAAAATGACTAAAAAATGAGTTGCCTTGGTTTCTCCCTCAGGGCTCTTTGACAGTGCTGGTTATAAATGATGTGAGAATAAAAAACCAAGGGTAGAGAGTTTTCAGGACTCCTTGTTAGAAATTGAGCCCCAAACCCAATTTAATTAAAAGTAGCTTAGGCAAAAAGTGTAATGTGTAGAGTTGAACAAGAAAACCTCAGGAGACACAGGGATACAGCTGGGCCTCAGGAACAACTGGGACCAAGGCCTTGAACACTGCCAAGACTTGAATCCAGCTGGATCTCACTAATCAGCTTCTTTTCTTCCTTCCTTCCTTCCTTCCTTCCTTCCTTCCTTCCTTCCTTCCTTCCTTCCTTCCTTCCTTCCTTCCTTCCTTCCTTCCTTTCTTTCTTTCTTTCTTTCTTTCTTTCTTTCTTTCTTTCTTTCTTTCTTTCTTTCTTTCTTTCTTTCTTTCTTTCTTTCAGTAACCTCTAATGCAGACTGGCCCTCTTTACATGATAGCATGACCTTTGTGCCTTGTCTAACTAGACAGTGACTGAATCCCTTTAGGAAAGTCAATTTGATGGCCCAGACTTAGGTCAACCAACCATCCTTGGACCCATTTATGGGACTATAAGCTATGGTCAGGAAGTATGTTTTTGAAAGCAGTGGTATTATTTGGTATCTAAGAATATGACAGATTTTCTTTAAAAACTAGAGGCACGTTACATGAAATTCATGCACGGAGGTGGGGGCGGGTGTTCCGCAGCCCAGCCTGAACCCTCTCACAGTCTGGGTGGGGGATGTCCAACTGCTGAAGAGTGGGCCTAAGCCAGCAGGCAGACATCCCTCTTGCAGACCGGGACCCCTCAATCTTTACTGCCCGCCTGCTTGCTGCTTCTTACCACTCAGCTCGCTGCTTCTTAGCGCTGATGTGGAGGTGGGAGAGACTGCTGCCACCACCACTGCGCTCACCAGCCATGAGCCGGCTTCTGGCTGAGCTGCACTCCCCCTGTGGAAGTGCACTGACCACCAGGGGGCAGCTCCTGCATTTTGTTTGCCCCCCTGGTGGTCAGTTCACATCATAGTGACCGGTCACTCTGGTGGTTCTGCTGTAAAAGTTGCTTAGGCTTTTAGTATTGTATAGATGGAGGATGGAACATTTATCAGAAGGAGAGTTGCTGAGCAGAGAAAACAATTGAACATGAGAGATTAGTGAGCAGTCTCTGAAGTCTTTGAGCTATTGAGACTTCACATATCTCCTCCCACTTCTTCCCCATACTTTTGCCAATGGAGATACATCTGCACACAGACACGGGCACAGGAGGTCATGTGGTATATCTAAGGCCTGCTGGTTTTGCCCTCACCCCTGTATCCTTTGATTGCTATATTCTAAATGCCAGGGAGAGGGACTAAATGAGATATTCTTTACCCTGCCAGATCACGTCCCTCTCCTCCTGAAGATTTTCTCTGTGAGGAAATTGCCAATCTCCTCACCAGGGTCCAAAATAGTGCATCTTGGTGTCCTTCTTTGTGAATCTCAGCTTAGCCCAAGGAACCCATTTCCATCCCAATACTGTGACAAGGCACTCACATTTATGCTAAAATGTCCTGATCTGCTGACAATTAGGTAGATCTGCTGCCTCTCGGCCTCTGGCTACTCCCCTTCTAATACGAATGTGTGTTCTATTTCTGAGACTACATTTCAAGCTCTTTGAGGGGAAGATTGTGTCTTATTCATTTTAGATAAGTCCATAGTGGCCTATTCTCTAAAAAACTGCTGACTGTCTGACTTTCTGAATGGGGCCCAGATTTCCCCATCTGGAAACCTAGGGGTTCACCACTAGTGAGCTCTAAGAACTTATGAGAAAAATGACCTCTCCAACCATTGCTTGTCCTTGCCACCAGGAGTCAGAACTGGTGCTCAGAAGCCCAGAGCCCGGGGTGGTGGGGAGCAGGTAGAGAAAAGACAAAAGCAAACTTGAGCTTCTATTCCTAATGGCTAGTGAAGGAACTCCCATTATTCATGAGAAGAATCAGCCCACCACATCCACTGAGCCCTAGCCTTGGTTAGATGTGCCAGAACCCAGGGCTTGGTGAGATGTGGGCTGGAGGGTGAAGAGACAGAGTCAGATAGCAATAGGAAGTCTAGGTTGGCATAGAGAGAGACCCAGGCTCCTGTCCCAGCCCTGATGCTTTGACCTGCTGTGTGACCTCAGGCAGATACTTTTTACTCTCCTCAATTTTCCTATCTGTTACCTAGGAGGTTAAGCCAGACTCAGAGTGTTGGTTCATAAGCAGGTTTGCTTATCAGTATAGTCTGAGGAGCTTATTTCAAAACACACTAGCCAAGCCCCAAGACCTTCACTTCAAATCTACTGAGGCACTGATGCAGAATCTCCAGGAGGTGGCGCAGCCATTTCATCTTCAAAGAGAGGTCCCAAGCTAATTCCTCTGCAGATCCCTGGTGTAAGAGCTGCTGGTCCTTGTATGGGGGGGAGGGGAGGGGCAATGGTATATGTACAAAGATAATAATTTAATAAAAAAATTAAAAAATATAACTGCTGGTCTTGGGTTGTTGCTAAGTGCCCTACCAGCAATGTAGCCCCTGCCTCTTCACAGCAGTCTTTGGCAAAGGGATTCACAGGGCACCTTCTGAGCCTACCTTCAAGCTCTTCTCTTACTCTATTCCCAGTAGTCACAATGGCTATCTAGGGAGGTTATTTGCCACTGTACTCCCTAATCACACCCTGGCTCTGTGACCTTGCTTGGTGGAAGTCACAGGGCTTTAGAAGTGCCACTTCATAGGCTCATGAACAGCACACCCCAGGCTATCTGTTCTGCCTCCTCCTCAGGAAGTGTCATTTGTATAAAGAAGAACTTCAGAGATCTCTGGGAAAGAGCCATCACAAGACTGTCAGGGGGAAGGAATCATCTATAAGACAGGAGCTGGGAGATAAGGGTCTTTAATGCGATAGAAAAGAAAAAACGAAGAGCAGACCCTCCTGGCACTAAGAATAAGAGTAGAAACCACTCCTATCTGGGCAGTTATTATTAACCACTTTATATTTTGAGCCTCAACGGCAGCCCTTGAAGGTAGGGGCCATTATCCCCAGGCCTTCAGGCCCCATTTTCCTGACTACTGTTAATATATTGATAAAAACACCCAAACATGTAAAGAATTTGTGATGAGCCATCTTTTGGTTGGATAATGAAGTCCGGAGTCCCATGGTGCTAGGAAGCCTCATTCCTAGGAAGCCTCAGTGTTAGCATTTGTCTTGCTGAACAGGGTGGACCATTGGGAATGAAGTAAGGCCATAACCTTAGATGGCACTTAGTTGAATTATTATTACTCAAAATAAAAGACAGGTAAATGAGAGGCAGTCAGATCTTGTATGTCCTTGTTAAAAAAGTATCTTGGCCCTAACCAGTTTTGCTCAGTGGATAGAGCATTGGCCTGAAGATTGAAGGGTCCCAGGTTCAGTTCTGGTCAAGGGCATGTACCTTGGTTGTGGGCACATGTAGGGAGTGTGCAGGAGGCAGATAATCAATGTTTCTCTATCATTAATGTCTCTCTCTATTCATCTCCCTTCCTCTGTAAAAAAAAATCAATAAAGTATATTTTTAAAAAGTATCTTGGATACTTTCTAATTTTTGAGACACCATGATCCAAATCTTTTGCTGCTTGTCTTAAGTTTTGTTTTTCTGCATCTAGTACAACATTTATACACCAGGAAAAAAAGCAATATTAAACCAGTAACACTTGTTAGGAACAGAAAATGTCTAATATTAAACAAGGAATGATCCGAGGGGAAACAAGTATCTACTATTATCCAGAAGTTCCATTTTTTTCTTCTGGGTAGTTAATTACATCCATTCTATATTTAAACAATATTCATCTAAAATACTCATCTAGATTAGATCCATATGTAATTCTACTGGGGAATTATTAGGGAGGTGTTCTTGGAGAGGTTTATCCAAGATAGGCCCCTTATAATAGATATAGCCTGAAAAATGTACCAAAGCTTATGCTGTTAGTAGACCACCAGTGTGTGGCTATAGCTGATAATCAGAATATCATTGTCTAATAGGTGGGAAAGATTAGCAGATACCCAAGTTAAATTTTTCATGTCTAGTAAGGAGAGAGGTATGGGGAGACAGATATTGTTTCGACTAGGAAACCATAAGGAAGATAGTAACAATATAAAAATAATTTTATATGCATCCAATCAATAACAATTAGGTGATATAAGAACAAGGTTTGAGTAGCATCAATTTGTGAGCATACAGGCCTTGTTAATGTCTTGGGATGGCTGTCTACCCCTACCGTAGTCAGTGGCTTCTCATCTTTGAGATGAAGGCAAGTGTCAAAGACAGGGGCGATGTCCATTCATGGTTAAGTACCTGATAAGGTAAGGTACCTTTAACATTGTTGGAGAGAGTTTTTCATTAATGTACTTCCCAATGGACAAGAATCTCCTGGTTGTGGTCTTTGAAATTTTTTTCTCCTGCAAGTACTGTGAATTGAATGTTACTATTTTATTAGTTTTTATAATGCAGAATGTCTGATTTTTGGTTTTCCTTATATTTGGGAAACAAAAGATTTAAAAATCAACAATATTTTAAACAGACATAAGAATAATTATTCTCAATTAAGTTAGTTCCATAACTATCTCAATAATTTGCCAGTTTTTTTTAAATCCACTTATTCCTTGAAGTTCTATAAATCTTCATCCAGTTCAAAGATATGACCTTCTTATAAGCATGCAATTTAGAGTAGGTCTGCCGAAACTGGTTTGGCTCAGTGGATAGAGCGTCAGCCAGCAGACTGAAAGGTCCCGGTTCGATTCCAGTCAAGGGCATGTACCTTGGTTGCGGGTACATCCCCAGTAGGGGATGTGCAAGAGGCAGCTGATCGATGATTCTCTCTCATCGATGTTTCTAACTCTCTATCCCTCTCTCTTCCTCTCTGTAAAAAATCAATAAAATATATTTAGAGTAGGTCAGAGTCCTTTCCATGGATTTTTCTAAAGATATAATATACCTGCAAATGCATCAGAGTAAAACAATGAATATCCATGAATGATAAAACTTAAAAATGGCATGGTTATAGATTTGATTACAATGCAATTGATAAAAAAACTTTGCTTTTCTTTAAGATATAACATTCAAAGACAACAATTTATTGGTAAATAATAATTACTGTAAAAAGAAATAGATAATAATATAAAATCTGTGTGTACATATATATATATATATATATATATATATATATATATATATATTTAGATTCAATATATAATTTCAGCATATAAAAATAAATAATATGTAAGATTTTAAAATGTGGCAAATCTTTTTTGAAAGGGTGTATTGAGCACTGAAAATAATTCATAAACTCCCAATATATGAAACATAAATATCCAGAGTATCACTGGGGAATCATCACTCTTGGCTTGCCTGGTGTTTCTGATTGGACACCTGCTATCCCTGAGAGTTTTCCTGTTTGAACTTGGCTCTGAATCTTTGCACGTTCTTTTCTGAAGTAGACTGAAAGTTCTATAACATTCATTTTAACAAAACATGTATATAAATAGAACATAGTTATTAATTTTATTTGACAAAACTTCCCACATAATTAATAGCCCTCAACCCATACCATATCATTTTTCATCTTCTTCTCCATATTTTATATCCCTTATCACTTGTTTGACATTTTATTTCATTGCATATTTACTTGATTAGTTGTTTATTGTCTATCTTCCCCACTAGAATGTTAGCTTCAGTAGGGCAAGGACTGTGGCCATCTCATTCACTATTGAAGCCCCAGTAGTTAGAAGAGTATCTGGCATATGATGAGAGCTTAGTAAATATTTGTCTAATAAATAAGTGAAATCTATAAAGGGGTAAATCAAGATCCACAAAGGAGAACAGGTTTGTCTCAAATCACACAGTCAGTCACTGCTTCAGACAGGACTAGATCCCATGTCCCTCTCATTCTCTCCTGACTCCCAGGACAGTGCTTAGCTCAAAAACCACTCTGTTGATTTGGGGGCCAGGAAACTGAAGAGGGGCATTGGGTTTGGTGGCTACAGTGAATGTCAATCACTACAGCTTTGAGAAGTCCTGTTTGCCTCGTATAGAAGAGAGCTATGGCTTTAGCCATAAACAGCCCCTTACCCAGATAGCACCCCAGTGGTCTAGGGGACTGGGTGAGAGCATGGATGATGACCACTGGTGGAGACATTCCTGCTAACTGCAGATGGGATAGCAAAAGTAGCCTGGGATTGTTTATTATTATTCTCTCTATACGACTCCTTGTGAGAGGCTGTTGAGTATGAGAGTTACGTATTCAGGCCCAGGAGCCAGTCAGCCAGGATTAGAAAGCAGACTCTACTACTTGCCACTTGTATGACTCCAGGTAAACATCTCTGAACTGCCTCTATTTCCTCATCTCTACCTACCATACATGGTTACTACCAGTGTTAAATGAGGTAATCCATGAAAATTGTTTAGAGGGGTGTCTGGTACAAAGTAATGCATGTGATCCATGACTGTGGTTATTTTATTATAATTCATTATTAAACTTCCTTGTTATTATTGCTTTATTGTGGGGAAGCATGGGACTTGCTTGGAAAGTCTGTAGGAGCAATCTCCGAAAGGTCGAGGGCCTCTAGAGGGACCTTGATGAAGGCAGCAGACCCTACCTTGACTTTTCCAAACAAGTCTGAGCCCCGGGGTGTTTTACTGGGATCTTTATGTTTAGATTTCAAAATGTCCTTACTTAAAGGACACATGTGTTTTCTCAAGGATGCTTACATTACTGATAGTATCTAATAGTTAATTTTAGTTCAAGATGTGAGATGAAAGGGAGAGATCAAGCAAAGGATTTATGTGCACACATAATAGTCTAAGCAGTGGTCAAGGACAATAGGGGAGTGGGGACATAAGTGAGGGGGGTGGGGGATTGGAATGGGGGTGGAGGACAATTATGTGATACCTTAATCAATAAAGAAATTAATAAAATAAAATAAATAAAATAAAATAAATTAAAAAAAAGATGTTGTTACAATAAAAGCCTAAGGAGTCAGGCAAACAGGGCTATTTGCTCCTATAGCCAAGCAGTCTCTTAGCCTTTCTTTCACAGAAACATATGTCGGAGTAATTCAATAATCCATTGCTCAGGGTCTGCCAGTCAGTCCAATAAAATAACATTTATTGAGAATAATTTCCACCAAGCTGCACTAAATGCTTTAACTTTTTAATTTAAACCTCCCACCAAAGTAGGTGCTATGATTTTCTGGCTGTGGAGGGAGAGCGCATAAGCTCAGAAGAGGGAACACTGCTCTGCTCTAACTCTTTACGTTACTCTCCTGTCACATGCAGGGGACTTCCTCTTATAAGCCTCGAGCCAGTTGGAAGTGGGTGAAAAGGAACCATTGCCTTGTTGCTGGCTGACTACCATCCTGATGGAGCCACAAAATGGGCTAGATAAAAGGGGAGAGATCAGCTATAGCAACCTCCCCAGGATACAAATGGGAAAACTGAGGGTCACAGAATAAATTTTAAGTTGAACTGGAGGGATACTTACAGATCCACCCCCCTCTGGACAAATCTCTGAAGCACTGATGAGAAAAGTCCTCAAAGATAGGCACAGGTGTGTTCAAAGCAGGCTTCAGACCTTCTAGGGTTCCAGCATTTGGCCCTTTGATCATCTCAGGTCTCTTAAAGGGAAGTGAGCCTAGGGGGAGTAAGTTATTCTGGGCCCTGTCATGACATGTGCCTCCAGAGACCCAAGCCTGGCCTTTTGCCATGGGGTCTCTGGGAGCCTTCTGGCTGCCAGCCATGGCACTCTGCCTTTGGAGCCTTGGGAGAGGAGGAATCACTGCTTAATGGCTTCCTGCCCAGAAAGTCTCTAGAACTGCTTGCTGCTAACTATACTAAAAGAACAGAGTTCAGTGCATCCATTGTGTCAGGTTCAGATAGCAGGCTACACTTCTGGATCTGGAGAGGTTTGAGGATGGGAGTGACTGAAGGAGGTAAGACACCATCTCATCAGAAGATGTTCACAAAAGGACATACACCTAGGTTATCTGAGCTAGGAGAGTGCTGTGATGCCCCGAGTCCAGGGGAATGGAAGAAATGGCCTTTGAAAACTCAGATTCTCATTGGGGCACTACCTGACTTCCTATGGATTCCCAGGACAGCACAGGAGTTCTGAGTGGAGTTGTGATTATTGGCCAGAATGGAGATTTTCCCAGACTTACTCTGTTCTTAACCCCATACAGGAGTCACACAATAATAGACTTGAGACTTAGAGACTTGCGACCCCACTTCTCATTATATAGCCAGGAAAGCTGAGGCCCAGAAAGGGAGGGGAATCCTGGAGGTGCTAAAGTGAATTGTGATTCCTGACTTTAGTGCAGGGCTAGAGAATGACCCCTTAACCCAGGGACCAGAACTTCCAGTTTGAGAAGGTTTCCTAAGGCTACAGCTTTTCCCTATCCACCAACTGCCTTCACACCTACCTGGGGCTCTCCTTCCTGAGCCTTTTCCTGGGCACTTTTTTTTCACAGCCCCTGTGTGGTCTTGGTTGTAACCACAGTTCCCCAAGGAGAACTGGTGTATCACTGGGCAGGAGAAAAGCAAGGAAGCATGCTTGAATGCAGGTGTTGGGACTGGCTGGTGAGCATGCAGGCGGGCTGGACATTCCAAGCTTGGAAACTGTAATGTTCAGGGAATTTCAGTTGTCATTGCTGTCCAGTCCCAGCCAAATGGTTAACAGTGCCCAGTTTGAATCAGTGACCCGCCTCCTGGTCCCTCCTCCTGGTCCCTCCTCCAGCCAGCCTCTTATCTCCCTCCTTTCTTTCCTCCCTCCCTCCCTCAGCCTGGGAGGCGCTTGGAGTGGAGGCAAGCTGAGCTCAGGATAGCCGCTGCTCTCCACTTCTCCCCTCTCTGTGCAGTGCTGGCTGATGGAGCACTCACCAAACCCCTGGTCCCCTGTAGCCTAGTCCCCAGAGAGGAAGAGGCCTGTTCCCAGCAGAACTCAACCGGGGCCCTGCCAGCTTCCCGTACCCCACTATGCCTCTGCTGGATGTTTTCTGGGCTTGTTTCAGGAAAGTAATGGTAAGTGGCTTCTCAGCCCCAGCCCACCCTCTGATCTGGGGAGAAGGAGGCAGCTGGGGACAACTGTATGCTGGCTGGAAGACAGATGGGCTTCTGAGACTACCTTGACACTAGAAAGACTTGAGTTCAAGTCTTACCATTGTCATTTAATCAGATCTGTGATCTTTTGCAGCTTTTCCAGAAAAATGAGTAAGCTAGCTGGCTCTTTTTCATAAAACTTGTCCTTTTGCTTCCTTGGCCTAACCACTTAAGGCAATATTCTTAACGATTTTGAGCCCCCTGCCCCCAGTTGCCTCAGTTTTAAAATGAAGACAATAGCAATACCAACTTTATAGGGTGAAGAGATTGGTGTTATTATTGGTATATTAAATGTTTACAAATATAAGCAGTAATGTGTGTAAGGTTCCTAATGTGATAACTGGTATGTAGCATCTATAATGGTAACTATTATTATGATTATTATTACTGATTTGCATAAACATTTATCAAGCACATTTTCTGTGTTTGGCACCACAAGAGTTACCTACAGGCACAAAGGTACATAGCTTCTGTCCAAAGAAAAGGGATCCTTACAGATCCACCCCCCTCTGGACAAATCTCTGAAAATCACTATTAACATTTTAGTGTATTTCTTTCAGTTTTTTTTTCATCTACAATTAATTCTTCATCTTTCAAAGCTGTGATTGTCCACTTTGCATATATTACACTGAGTGGCCAGGTTATTATGATCTCTGAACGCATAATAATTTGGCCACTCAGTATATGTATATATATATATATATATATATATATATATATATATATATATATGACAAATATTTATCAGGCATCTATTATATGCCAGACTATGCTAGATAGTCAGTTAAATATTTGCTGAGTACTGCTATATCCTGGACTCAGGGAGCACAGTAGCACGTCAGGACCCACAGGCTGTGTA